AATGTCACTGCTCCCTAGTGCAGGCACCAGGAACTACCAGGGGGGTCCTCAGCCTCACCACCCAGACCACCCCAGTAGGACTCAGCCTTCTGAGGCCACTGTCAGGAGAGCCACAGCATCCAGCGTGTGACCACAGAGGTCTGCGTGCAGGACGGCAGGGCCAATGAGGCCAGCTCTGTGGTTTCTATGGGGGGTCAGCTCCCCCTGCCCCCACCCCAGCCTCTGGATGATGCTGGCCTTACCTTTATTTTCCAAGGGAAGTGTGTGACCTAGACTTGACCAATCAGTGAACTCCATTCCCCAGGCTTCTGGCTGTGATTGGTTCCCAGATGGGCACATGACCCAACGTGGACCAATGAAAGTCATGCCTGAGACTTGCTTGAATTGTTGCTGAGAGGCCGCTTCTCCTTTCTGCTGAATCTGAGTCTATCAGCTGTGACAGCGGCAGGCTTGGTGCCACCATGTCGAGTCTGGGAATGAAGCTGGGCTGGCTCCTCTGCTGGCCGTCCCTTCCCCAGGTCCATTCTCTGTTCTTCCTGACCCTGTGCTGTGCCCTTCAGGCTGACTTCTAGAAACTGCTTGTCCCAGGCTCCCCTGCCCTCTGGCTGCTGCTGAACTCAGTCCAGGCAAGGCCGCAGTTGGAACTGAAGGGTGGGAGGAGAGAGGGATTGTCCCCCTCCCCTGCGACACTGTTTCTGCTCCTGTCCCATCAGGCCTTGGATAGAAGAGCTCCTTACTATTGATACTTCCGGGTGCCTCGACATCCCTTCTGGTTTTCCTGTATTCTGCCCATTCCCACTTGAGTATGTTACGAGTTTCCTGCCGGGATCCTGACTGATACAGGGGCCAACTTGAAAGCAGCAGAACTGATGGCTGATAGCATTGTCCCCTAGATCAAGCCATGCCTGAAACCCTGTCTTTCAGTTTCCTGTCACTGCACGTGAATAATTTGCCATGATTCATCCACTGGGTGTGAGGGAAGCTCTGGACCAGGAAAGAGCTTGGGAAAGGTGCTAGGAAGAGCCTGGGAGGCTTCCTATTTCTGGCTTATTATCCACATTGCCTGTGTGTGTTGAGGGGGGAGAGTGAGTATCTGTGCATTTTGTTGGTGTCAAAGCCTCCTCTTTTTTTGTGTGGAAAGAAATGGGATATAAATAAACATGTAAATAACTAAATAAAACCCACATTCTCTAATGCAGGGAGACAGAGAGCTGTGTCCCTTCAAATCACAGTTTCAAGTTTCTATCAGTGAAGGCACATTGTAAATGCAAGCTCTTTCAAAATTTGTTCTGATTTCTTATTTCGAGACATAAGAAGGACAGCTGGAATTGACCACTTTTGTCAGATTTTATTTCAGCAGACTGATGTTTCTTACAAGAGGAGGCACCCTGAGGGAAGGAGGATGGAGCTGAATCCTCAAAGGGAACACAAGAGGAGCTCTTAGTGTGCAGACAAACCCCTGGCCCAGCAAAACCTGGGGTGGGAAATGTCTCTGAGGATGTGAGGTTGTGCAGTCTCATGCCAGGCAGGCCAGATGGAACCCTTTCAGCTTTAATCAACAGAGAACTCAATTCAAATTTGTTTAAGCAAAAAGTTAAAAATATGTGTGTGCATGTGTTTATGTGAATACAAGTGCTAATTTATTGCAAGCTTCAGGAACAGCTGGATCCAGGTGTTCATACGCTGACACTGGAACTCAGTTCTTCCCTCTACTGCAGTGGATTTTCCTTGGGTTTTATGGTGGGCCTGGAAGCCCCAAGCTCCCCCTCTTGATGCTCAGATGGCTGCAGCTGCCCCAGCTGCCATCCTTGATACTTTACCTTCTGGGAAGAGACCTGGCTTTTTTTCTCAATGGCCTCATGCTAATTCCAAGATTCATCCTGACTGGACTGGCTTATACCATATGACCAGCCCTGAGACAATCATGGTGGCTGGTGGACCAGAATGCTCTGATTGGCTTAGACCTGGGTCATGTGACCTACCCCTGCAGCTGGGGCTGAAAATGGGTCAGAGTGGGGATGCGGTTTCCCACGGGGAGCCTGAGAGTTGTTGCCCCAAGAGAGGATCTAGTTTGGGAGGCAAACAGCCATCTGTTCACACAGACTCACATCTATTCCAGAAAAGCTACTGCTCTGATACGGGGAGAGGCAGAGAGAGGGGTCATTGGGAGACCTTCACCCAGCCCAGGACTGGGCAGTGTGTCAGCAGTAAGGGTCTACCTGCCTGACCTCTAGAAAACCAGACACAGGGGGATTCAGAGGGTCTCGTGGAGGCTGAGCCCCAACCGTAATCCAGTCCTGACTCAGAGCTCCCTTTACCTACTGACAGGACCAAAGTCAGGCTGAGAAGCCTCCAGAGGGTTCTCCAGAAATGCTAGCATGGTGAAGTTACTTAGGAACTTTCTTCCTACAATGAGAGCTGTGAGGTAAGGCATGAAGGCTGGGAGAACAGATCCCATCTCCCCTGCTGCTTTGGATCCATTCCTGAGGGCCAGAAGCCCTTCTTGGTCGACAGGCAAGGTGGGCGCTGGGTGGGGAGCTCAGAGCCTCCTTCCTGCCGCGTCTGCTGGGGTGCTCTGTGTGTGCTGCTGCCACGTGTGCAGGGAAGGGCCAGCCCCAGGCGGGGCTCATCTACACCTGCACATTAAAGGTTTGGCCCCTGCCAGCTCCTGGGGGTGATCCCTGAGCCCTGGAAGGCCCTGCCTGACAGGACTGCCATTGTTTATTTGGGCCCAGACAGTCTATGCTACATGAGATTTATGGTGGGGCTTTGAGCCATGGGGTATCCCCTTGACTTCTGTAGGGACTGGAGACTAAGGTCAGTCACATGAGTGGTCAGCCACTGCCATGTGACCAACAGCAATAAAAACTGGACACCAAGGCCTGGGTGAGCCTCCCTGGGTGGCAGCACTTGGCACATGGCACTGTCACAGGTTAGTGCTGAGAGAACCAAGTGCTGTCCATGAGACCCCTGGGAGGGGCTGCCCAAAGCGCACGCCTAGTCCCTCCTGGACCCTGCCCCGTGCCTTTCCTCCCTGTGCTGGTTTCATCTGTGCCCTTTCACTGCTGTAGTCACTACCCTGAGCACAACAGCTTTCTGAGTTCTGTGAGTTCTTCTAGAAAATTATTGGGCTTGAGGTTCGTCTTGGACGTCCTCCAACCACACCCCATTTCCTGGAAGCCTGTGGCCAGGAACAGTGCGCAGATCCCACCGCTATGTGAATCCTCACAGGTGACTTCTCCAGTTCATCCTCCAAAATTCAGGACCCACTGAAGGAGCATTAAAAAATCAGCACACACTCATGCTATCCCTGCTCTGTGCACAGGCCTGGCTAACACAGATGACGTGCTTCCCAGACCCGAGCCATCAGAGCCCCACGTCTGTGACCACTGTCACATCAAGGCTCCCCTGCTGTTTTATTTGCCCTTGTGCGTTTCCTTAAATTGACCTGTTCTAAACGTAAACGCATTTTAGTTCAAAGTGGAATCTTCGTTTCATCACTGCAAGTGGATAGCTGGCATTATTGTGCTAAATCATGGTAACTGCGAGAACAAACGGAACGAAAATAAAATAATGCGATTGATCCAGTGCTGGATGTGGCCGAGGCGCTGGAACCTGTGGCTGCCCTGCACCCACACTGACGAGGCACCTGTCTGCACTTCCTCCTCCTCCTTGCAGCCCCCATCCCCCACACAAGCTCCTTGCATGGGCATCCTTGTCTCAGGGTCCACTGGCGAGTGACAGGAGGACCAGCATGGGAGCTAAAAGTGGACCCCTCCCCGCCGCCTGTCCTGCAAGCTTGCTCTAGGCGACCTGCAAGTGCAGCCCAGTGGCCACCTGCCACCCCTCACACGTCGTAGCTTTGACCGCAGCTGCTGGCCCTGAACCCAGGCTCCTGCAGGAAGGTGCTACGGAAGCTCCTCCTGTTCAGCCCCGTCACCTGCTGTGTTTCTGCAGACAGAGCCCTGAGGGGAGCCCAGCCCAGGTTGTCATTCATCCTACGGCCCAGATGTTGTGCTTGGCTGAACCATATTTATGACATCCACGTAACATGGCATTTGTTCAAGTTCATGTCCGTCAAGGAGCCCTGGTGAGCTTCTAGAACAGCATGTAATGCTCAGAGACCAGGTCTCCGTCCTCAGTGACAGGAAGGCCCAGTGATGAGGGATTTGACCTTCCTGATTAATCCCATCCCATGGCTCTGGGCCACGGGACAAGAGGCTTACAGGCCCGCCAACGGAAATGACAAATGCCTCTGAGACACAGGCGACACTGATTTTAAACAAAGTCTAAACCCACCGTGGCAGGGACTGAATGGCAGCCAGCGGTACAAACGTGCGTGGCAGAGCCTGGTGCCCCAAGCTCGTGTTACTTGCGTCAGTGGCAGCACCTCTGGTTCAGCAAAGGCGCAGCCCCACCTTCTCAGACGTGCAAACGTCCGCGTCAAAGAGAGGAGGCCTCGCCTGCAGAGGATGTCACAGCCAGAGAGCAAAGAACCCAGACACCCAAGCTCGTGTTACTTGCGTCAGTGGCAGCACCTCTGGTTCAGCAAAGGCGCAGCCCCACCTTCTCAGACGTGCAAACGTCCGTGTCAAAGAGAGGAGGCCTCGCCTGCAGAGGATGTCACAGCCAGAGAGCAAAGAACCCAGACAGAGAGAGAGAGAGACGCAGAGAGAGACAGAGAGAGAGAGACAGAGAGAGGCAGAGGGAGAGACAGAGAGACACACAGAGAGACAGAGAGAGACACAGAGAGACAGAGAGAGACACAGAGAGAGAGACCGAGGGAGAGACAGAGAAAAACACACAGAGACAGAGAGAGAGAGACCGAGAGAGACGGAGACAGAGAGAGAGGGAGAGATCCCCAATGCAGAGGAGAGCCCAGGCCCTCACTCTCTCTTCTCTCTCAGCAGCTGACATCTGTCTTTCCCGGAGCCCACAGCTTGCCAGAGTGCTGGGCCTGGACCCCGGGCTGCCTGGAGGTGCCTGGGGCGCACACTCACTTTTTGGGCCTGTAGTCGGGGATGCTCCTGTCCAGGGAGATGCGGTCGCTGAGCTGCGCATTGTAGCCGTACTCCTCGAACTTGCCCTCTGTCTCCTGGCTGTCGTCCCGCAGTGTGGCGGCCACGCCGCCCTGGCCCAGGCCCCCCGGGCCCTCCACCAGACCAATGGGCTTGGCCAGGCCTGAGGGGAAACAGGAAAGGGCAGGTCAAGCAGATCCGGGCCTTACCCGTGTCCTCCCCCAGGAGACCTCCCCTCCCAGCCTCTCTCCCTATAGCCTGTGCAGGATCCAGCCCAGGACCTTGAGGAAAAGGCAGAACTGTGGACACAGAGAGATCAGTGGCTGCTCGGGGTTGGGGGAGGGAGGGGTGAACAGGCGAAGCACAGGGGATTTTTAGGGCAACTACTCTATTTTTAGGTGAAACTGCTCTGTATGATGCTGTAATGCTGGACATGTGTCATCGTATATTTGTCCAAACCCACAGGACGTACAGCCCCAAGAGCAAACCCTGATGCAAACTCTGGACTTTAGCCAATAATAACTTATCCACAGGGGTCCATCAATGTAAGAAGTGCACCTGAGTAATGTAAGGTGTTAATGAAGGGGAAACCGTGTGTGGAAGGGGGGAGGAGGTATATGGGAACAGTGTACTATGCTCAGTTTTTCTGTAAAAATATCTCTAAAAAGTAAAGTCTATTAATGTCAAAAAATCTCAAAGAATTTTTAAAAATTAAATGTAAAAAAATGCAAAGCAGCTGCCCCACCTCCCATCCACAGGAAGCCTCAATATCGTCAGTGTTTGGATTTAGACTCACCGCACACCCCTGCAGTGCAATGCTGCTCTGGGGTAAAGGCAAGGAGCTATCGACACATGCAACAGCCTCATGGATCTCAGAAACATTATGTGGAATGAAAGAGCCAGACACGGAAGAGAGTGCCCCGTGTGACTGTCTCCATGACGTTTAAGAACAGACAGAACTACTGTCTCCTCTGGGGGTGGGGTGTTGCTGACTGGACAGCAGCCCCCGGAGCTTGAGAGACTCGACATCATGGTGGGGTGGGCGGTGGGGGACTGGAGCCCAGGCCAGGGGAAGTTCTTCCAGTGGGTTGTTGTGCCAGGACAGTGAACGTGGCTTGGAGACGTCACTCCCAGAGGGACCTAAGGACCACAGCCGAGGCCACCCTGCAAGGACAGTACCCTTTGCCCCCTTGAGACAGACAACTCTGGGCCTCTTGGCTTTGGGGGTAAGATCTGGGGAGCAGTGCTCAAGCCAGAAAAAGGCAGGTGGACTCCAGTCCTGAGCTCCCTTTTTTTTTTTTTTGTCTTTTTCTGTGTCCGGCAATGGATCGCAACCCTCAGTGTTGCC